GCTTGGATAGTTTGTTTTAATTATTATGAAATTTCAAGGACTTATTTTAGACAAATCTCAATTGACCGCGTGCATCCGGTTCTCGGCCCGCGGCTTCGGCTGTTTGCGAAAAATTTCTACATGAAAATTAAAATGTGATTTTAAGAATTTTCTTTTAAAAAAACTTATGGAATGTCCCGTAGCTGCATTAATTGAATCACGGCTAAAATCTAGGCGGAGATTTTCGCAGAGAGCTTGCAGGTAATGAACATTGAGGAACGGATTGATCCTTTATCGGCACACTGTCACAGTTACGTGTTGTCAGTCAAAGCTAAAATCTATTCCTAATTTTCTTCTCTTTTTTCAATTTCTTTTTGATTTGCTGGGAGAGTTAATTTTTGGCTCCGCCTCGAGCTTTATTGAGAGAAGAATCCGGTCCACAATATGACACCTTGTTTTGAGTCATTTATGAGTTCGTGACACGATGAAGGCTTAAAAATTAACTTTGTGCAATTGTTACTTTTATAGTCTGAGTATAAGTATCCCAAAATACATTACAATGTTGCACCTCAATAATAATAAGTAATAAGTACCCTATTTTAAAGTATTTAAAATAAGGTCAGCATTTGATGTCTTTCAGCAGACTTTAAATATTTTATGTACAATCTGTTTTTATAGTCAGAGTGTTGTGTGCCCAAAATACAATTCAAATAGACCTCAAAACAGTGTTTAAGTACCCTATTTAAAAGTATTTGAAATGCGGTCAGTAGTTAAGGACTTAAAACATATTTCAAATAGTCTATTTGAACTCTGTTTGTAACTTTGTGAGTGGATGCGTCTCAAAATACATTTTCGATACAACTCAAAACAGTGTTAAAGTACCCTATTTAAAAGTATTTAAGATACGGTCAGCATTTAGGCTCTCAAAACATATTTTAAATAGTCTATTTGAATTATGTTTGTAACTTTGTGAGTGGATGCGCCTCAAAATACATTGTAGATGCAACTCAAAACAGTGTTAAAGCACCCTATTTAAAAGTATTTAAAAACAGTCGCATTTAAGCCCTTAAAACATATTTCAAATAGTCTATTTGAACTCTGTTTGTAACAGTGTTAGTGGTTCTATGCCCAAAATACATTTGAAATACCCTATTTTAATCATATTTATTAAACAAAATACATTGTAAATTGATGAGAGAGGTTTTCCTTTTGATGAAATATAATTTAACTACACTTAAGATATATTCCAAACAGGGGCGAAAATTTAAATTTTTTTGTCAAATAGGATTAAAATACAGGAAAATAGTATTCAAATACTGAAAATACATTTTAAACACTTTAAAATCAGTCTCAAAATACATATGGTTTGGTAAGGGTACGTATACATAGAATGAAAACTCAGGAGTCCTGAGCCAAAACCAGAATGTCAGAGCTAAAATTAATTATTGACGCTGCCAGTAGACAGTGATACGTTAGGGAAGGTTTCGGCAATTTTCATATTGACGGTGACAAAAAAGGATTTAAGTGTCCTTATCAAGCGGGTTAAAATGTAAGGGCTTTGTCCAGGGTCAAAGAAAGCTGTCCGTAATAACGAAGCGGAAGTCCGCAGAGCGCGGCTCGAATTTATAGCCACAGAACCCTGTAAAGCGTACCGAGCTAAAAGCTTGGTCTGCCTGTCCCATTGAGTACGACAATCACGCAGCTAATCATGTTCTAGTCCATTAGAGTAGGGTGGGAAATCGTCCACTCAACACCTGCTTATCTTTCCATTATTTATTAGAGCATTGTCTACAACAATGGTTTTTTTTCACCTCAATTTAAGAGATATTATTTGCGGTTTATTAAGTTCAGTTGTGAAAGGGTTAACTACGCTGTTGTAAAAACATTTGCATAGAAGAAAATAATTAAAATTTGCTAACTTATCTTTGAATAATAAATGCTATTTTTTTAAAATTTACCAAATTTACCTGGCGACAATGGCCGATCCGGCTAGTCCCTAATATTTTGAAACAGAGTTGTTATTAATAGATCATTAAAACCGTTCAACTTTAATTTATGCCAAATTCTGTTTACCACGAACGGTGTAAGAATCTAAAGACGGTATTAAGCACAGTTAACGCAAGAAAAGCTACATCTTCAATAGATCTGGAATTGTCTCTGTTTGTGCATATGTATGTGTTAACTGTGAAATATCAGTAAAATCTTTCCAACGATTGTTAAATAATGTCATCAACAAAAAGAATAATTTAAGTTTTGACGTTAATGTTAAAATGCGACAGGTGGTATGAAACTGTTTACCAGTATAGCATAAGTTACATCCCCGTTGTACCTTAACCGCACTTAATGCACTCGACTTTTCAGGAGACTTGCGTTCCGCGAACAAGGAAGCGATCATGGGTGTTGTTCTTCACTACAGTATTTTCTTTATGCTGTACATGCATTCTTTAAGAATTTGCTTTGGCTGTTTGGATGGTAAGTTCTTCTCTTTCCAGCTTGTTGTTTTAACCATATTTATCGCGTTTTTAAAAATTGGGCGTCAAAATAGTGAGAAATACATTTATCTCTTGAAAGAAGATAAAAAAATTATAATTAGCTAGACCGACTTTAAAAATTGGAAACAAGAGTAGCTGAAAAATTTTCTGCTCTAATATACTGCCCATAAATATGACTTTTTTACGGCTTAAGGTTAATTTCTCTTCTTTACAGTTAACAGACATATGCAAAAAAGTCACATCACATGCAAAAAGTTCCGCAAAATTAATTTTCGTGGTTGCAAAATTGATTAAGGCTCGTATAAAGAACCATGTCTATTAGCAACGAGGGGAGGAAACGCAAAAAGTTCTAAACAAGCGTTTTCGAAACGCTCTAAATGATAAATTTTGGTTGGAGACCGGCTTTTTTCACTGTTAACCTCTTACAACTATTAGCGATTAACCCTATCTTTGTAGGCTTTCTTTGTTCATTTAGCCTGTCTGGTCGCCGGCAAAATGATTGCTCTACAATAGTCTAGCTACAGAAAAGAAAACAGAATCTGGCTGTTATTAGCGAGAAAAAAAAATAATAAAGAAGGCTGCTAACAATGTCAGTGTGCGAGGATCTTTTAGTCCCTCTTTATTTCTTTTCGTTTCTTGCCAGTTGAACTTTTCACTTCCCCTCTGCAGCTCAAGATTCCTTAGTATCTGTTCTTAATTATCTTTATTTTTACTTTGGACTCCTACCATATTAACACTATACATTAACACGACACTGTTTCCCTCTTTTAAGTTTGACGAATCTCTTTCTGGCTCGAAAATGTCCTGTCATTTCCTTATTCGAAAACCTTGTTCAATATGACCACCTTTATAAGTATCCCCAGGCGTTACCTTCTTCACATTTGTACCTCGTTAATACGAACAACAGGGAAGTCAGGAGCAATCAATTTGACAATCTGCATCAATTTTATCTTACTGAAAGTTGTTACAATAACATAACTGAGCGTCCGAGTCATATGTTTAAAATTCGGTACGGCACATTAAAAGACCAGTGAAATTCTACTTTGTAACATATAATTTAGAAAGGCTTAGTATAATATGGGTTGTACCACGTTCTCGGATCATGGTTTTAAAGCCCAACGGTCATCTTATTAACGGGAATTTTATTCTACTCAACTGTCCTTGTTTCCTTTGTGGTCAATTTAATATGTTAAAGACGTTCACTGAATGCCTTTTTTCGGAATAAATATCAAACGTTCCTCATGGACGAAAAACCAGCGAAATACAAAGCTAAAGGTTATTTATTTTTGTCCTCTTTGGGCCTAAAACAGTGTTAATTGCCATCATAGAAGTTGTCCTTTGAATTCTGAAATTCTTTCGATATCATGCCATCTATTTCAACCCATGTTTTATTCTATTTAATGCAAGAATTTGCTTATTCATTCAATTATGCAGCTGCTAACAGACTGACTGAATGACATGGCAACCCTTAATAAATGCTGAATAAGAGGAAATAAGGATAAACACATCCCGCTGCACATAATTAACAAGTAGAAAATTGCTAAAAAAAACAAGAACAACAACAGGAACAACAAAAGAATTCTGTTTGCATGTCAACGGGAAAACATTTCCTGAGCAAACACCGGACGATCACAATGTTGGCTCTTTTCATAAAAATTGAAACTTTCAATGGATTTGTTATTGTCCTTAAGGCAGAGCAGAACCTGAGACGGTTTTCCCCATTTTATGCGCCGGATTTATTTCAGCTGTGTCTTCTATTCCCATGCCGGAATGTTGCTATTTTGTTCAATTATAAAGTTGCCAGCGGACTCAACGAACAACATTTTTTTTAAAAAAAACCTATTTAAAAGTTAAATAACAGGAGACAAATGTGAGAAAATTTTTAAGAAATATAAAATTGAGTTTCGATGTTGTCACTGCGGTTTAACCCTTAGATTATAAACTCGTTAACAAGGAGAAAGCTGCTAAGAAACAAAGAATTCTATTATTTGCGTGACTAGGGAATAATTATTTTCACAATAAACACGACAGTTTACCACTATTCAAGACAGGTGGGCATACCATCTTCCTGTTTTCCTGTTTTCAGCCTTCTCATTTGGCTTTTACAAATTTTAAAACGAATTATCGTATATTTTCCTTAAAAAGAGGGTTTTCTTATAGAGCTCGACCAATTGACAGAAAATGGGCCTAGAGAGCTAACAACTTATATCCATCTCCTTGTTGTCATTATTTCATATAGACTTAGCTATTTTAAGCCAGTTTGAAGAATAAAATCTACTCTCCCAGGAAGATCGTCAGCGATTCCAAAAAACCCAGCAAGTTTAATTAATATACATAGCAGTTTCATCAAATTTCAGATAAAACATGGCTGAAAGAGCAGGACTATAACCTAAAATATACGTTGTTACGTTCCATGATGAACTTCAATCTTATCTACAAAGGACAGTTGCTTTATATTAATCGAGGCTCTTTTTGCCGCCAAAAAGCTCAGAATTTCCAAATGCATTTTTTTTCCTTTTTTTAAATTCAGGTAATTGCCGCGTACTGGCGTTTCCGAGCTATTTCCTAATTGCTGACAAATGTTTGGAGGGCCACACGATCTTAATTGTCCAACATGTCCCGGATATGGGTCTCTGTGAACTGCTTTGTTACAACGAACCAAACTGCGTCAGCGTTAATTATGAAATACAAACACAGATACGGTGTGAACTGAATAATTCAACACACCGAGCGCACGATGACGACTTTTTAGAGAGGAGAGGCTGCTTATATCATGGAGCAATTGTAAGTTTTTTGGTCTTGTCTTTTCGTTGTCTCTTTTTCTTTCATGATCTGCTTTCATCATCTTCAAGGCGATCATTATCTCATCATAGTCATCATCATGAGAAGAGACGTCATCTTCGTCATTAGGGAGCTTAAGCAACTACGACGATGGCGGTGGAGTGAACGTCTCTTAAAAAGTTAACTCAAGCTGTTTCAAAATTCATCGCTCTTTTACCATGTCGCGATTTGTCAAATGTTGGTGAATTTTTCGGGTGTTAAATTCTAAAGGACTGCATCTAAGTTGAAAAAAATAGAACCATTTGTCCAGAAACGTGAAATTGGGTAGGACATGAAACGACACAAACGAAATGTACAGTGAAGCGTTATCCACATGCAAATATAATTTTTTAAATTTTGTAAACTATACCTATTTGCTTTTTCGGCGTTTTCGTTGTCTTCGACGTCGTCGTTGTTTAAGCTCCCTATTATCAACATCATCTTTGTAATAATTATCATTGTCATCATCGTCATAGTCATCCCTTAGTTTATAGTTGACGCTCGATCATGAAGGTTTAATTGGCGTAACTTCTGTTGCAAATCAGACATGATTTTTGTTCTTTAAAGAGTGCTTGTGATAATCCCCGCTGCCATAACAACGGTACCTGTCAGTCTGGATTCACAGAGAAAAAATATCGGTGTTTATGTCCTTTTGGTTTCACTGGTGAACACTGTGAGAATGGTAAGTTGTTCTTGAAAGTTTCTTTTAAAGCAACTGATTAAATCAAAGGATTTTAAATCGTAATAAAGATAATTTGAGCCGTCCATGTCATTTCTCACGGCAGTGTATGAAACGAGCGGTTATTTTAAGAAAACGTTTAAATACTATTTTCAACGAAACTTTTGCATTATGTTTTAGTAATCTTGTTTGTGTTTCTTTGTTATTCAGTTGAGTGGCGTGTTAAGGGCTTCTTGTTAAGTAGTAGCATTTGGTAATTGAAAGCTAATCTTCGATAGCCTCTCAACTGTAAAAGAAGAAAACCTGATATGGCCTGAGCCTGAGTAATACCTGTATGCTCTTTGCTAGGAAGTTCATTTATTGAGCTCGCGAGGGGGCGGAAAGACTTCAATGAAAAATGCTCGTCTGAAATTAGTATTAAAACCCCTACAGGACACTAATCAGGGCGTGGCCTTTTGCTCTTAGCTGTAATTGACCCCTTAAGAAATACCATGGATCATGAAAGTATGACGGCATTTGTCTTTTTATATATGGGCATTTCTTGAGGAAAAAACCCAAACTCATCCTTTTTAGCCCTCAGCGATACCTTAATGGGTAAAACACTGAATTTCCACCCTGCATACCCTAAGTGTGACCACTCGAGCTTCTAAGTCCAGTGCGAGCCGATGAAGTCGGTTGTATATATTTTTTTGATAACTCACCGTGAGCAGCTAAGGGAGAGTTTTAACCAAATAAAATTTTCCAGGGAACATAAGTGACATACAAAGATCAAGAATGTCAAATGTCGACACTGTGGGTCCAACCATTATGGGCTCCTGCCATAATCTTTTGCTGAATATGCAAAAAAGTTCTAATTTTCTCGTAACTAACTAAGTTTATGGGTGAAAGTGAAAAAAAAAAACAACAACAACAACAAAAAGCAAATTAAACAGTAAGTCAATGTCTTAACAGACAGAGGAAAATCTAGCTTTTCTTTGGATTCAACACCGATTTTGTGACTTGCTACTTATACTGTTACTACCTTCCAGTAACCTCTTCTCTTGATTTCACTGTAGATGTAAACGGTGGAATTAAAGTCTAAAACACACAAATGCAAAATACGTTTGTTTCTATTATCGATCAATATGATTTCAGACATCAATGAGTGCAAAGAAGGAACCCACAATTGCAATTCTAATGCGGTTTGTAATAACACCAAAGGATCCTACAACTGCACATGCAAACCAGGATATGAAGGGGACGGAAATGATTGCACAGGTGATATTTTTCCTAATTTAGTCATTTTGCGTGCCATCGAAAGCATTGCCGTTTTTATTTTTCCGTAGTAAAAAGATTATTAATGATTATTACTTGTCAAGTGGTTGACGATGTTACCTCAGTCAAAATTTAAAGCGGAATGTTTTATAACGCTTAGTACAGTGTACCTTGTATTTTCAATGTTTTGTCAATCTCCTCGCGCAAGAATCTTCATTTTTAAAGGAGGTGAGATTTCATGGAAGAAGAAGAAGAAGAAGAACATCAATGACCGGCATCAGAAACTTTGCTTTTTTTCCTCATGTATTTCTTTTCATACTACAAACTAAGCTTGCCATGCATTGTTTAATATGATTTCAGACATCAATGAGTGTAATGCGGGAACTCACAATTGCAGTTCTAATGCGTTTTGTAATAACACCAAAGGATCCTACAACTGCTCTTGTAAGCCTGGATATACGGGAGATGGATGGACCTGTACAGGTAAATAATGGTTTTGGTGAATGAAGAAAGGTTTCGTGACAAAGTTATGTTGTGATGGCTGGAGTAAAGTTGTTCAGTTTTTTTGTCTGCTCTCAGTTCTTTTATTTCTTGTGAAACTTGCCGTTTCCGTAGACTTTTAAAAATAACTAAGTGGGTTCACACTTGGTGAGACGGCTAAGACGGCTTTAGTTAATGAAGAGGGTTAGGGTCGTGGAAAGCTCTCCATTCAACTTTCAATGCATTAAGGAGACCCACGAAATAAAGCGAAGGCAAATGTTATGGTAAGCCAAACTTAATTTTTAATTCTTGTAACTCATGTACTAACGAAAGCAAAAAAATTCAACGTGGTGTCGATAACAATATTTTTTTACTTACTTCTAATACTGTTACTACCTTCTGACTAGCAGCCTCCTCTCTTGATTTCACTGTAAATATTAACTCGGCCTGGGAAAGTCTAAATCACGCGAATGCGAACTAAGTTGAACCAGTAAATAACGACAAACACATTGTCCAAGAAACCTGAATTGATATTGTTATTGGAAATCATGCATTGCGTCCGCAAACTACAGATTATAGTCAGTTGTCTGATAGGAGATAACTTCCCAATCTGTAGGTTGCGCTGATTTCTAAAATTAGCTGTAGGCTCTTAGCCAATGAGAAGACAGATAATGTATCGGAATTAATTGATGGCTTCCAGGAGCTGGATCTCGACTGGTAAGCTTGAGTAATTATTGCATTTCATGTTTGCGGCCAGTTTGTGCTCGTTTGTATTAAAAATTTGAGACGAGAATGATCTGACTCATCATCAGGTTTGATATACAGAACTTTTAAAGCCTTTAAACATTTTCTGACCGCAAATAAAAAGAAAATTTGCTGAAGAATATGTAGTTATCGTGTTGGTTGTAAAGAGAAAGCTTTGAGTGATATTCTTGCCTCGAGTTTATCTTGAAAAAGAGCAAACACCGGGAAGGCGGCTTGAAACATAAATCTGCAAAGTTTTTCTTTATAGTGTATGACTCCAGATTTTCAGAGACACTTCATCCTCAATACCTGTCTTCGTGAATCAAATGGTTGCCTTTGTAAATGTTTCATTGAATTATATTTCTTGATTTGATTGTTTGTCAAGATCTCTCTCTTATCGCTGCGCCGGTTGTTTTCCATCGTTAATGAACATCGCATGCCAGTAGTGCTTTAAATGTCACGTATATTAAATGGTGATTAAATGCTTCTAAAGATTGTGGTGCCTTAGAGGTAAAATGAAAAAGAAAATGATTCTGACACCTGTTTACTACTATGTGTGTGATTTGATAAGTAAGTCTTTTCTATTACAAAACAAGGTGTTCTGTTCTCTGTAAGATCTTGTGATCTGTGTGAGAGGAAATACGATTGTTGTGTTAACATATACAGTAAGGAATGTACGAATTTTTGTTAAAAGATCGGTGATTGTGATATTCATACCGCCATAAAGGCGGTTTCGGAAGTGGTTTACGGTCTGGGAAGTACAAAATAAGGCGGTTTGCAGAATGGTTGAACCCCTATAATAGACCCTCCTTTCTGTTTGAAAGTTCGTAGCGTAGTCTTTGTGTTTCCCCCTCATATAATGGCTCAGAGCGCAGTCGTTCATGTAGTCTTTCCACATGCTCCTTCGGAACATCAAACTGCAGCCCCTGACTTGGCAAGTTATAATTTTCTCTGCGCACATACGTACTCAAGTGAATTGTGACGTGGCACCTGTATTAAGACAAAAATACAAACTATGCTTTACTTGAAGAAAAACAATGGTAATTTGCTGCAATTATGATCAGGTAGTTGTAGATCCGGCTGTAGATACCAAGTATTGGCTTCTCCGTGATCGATTTGGAAATTTACCATGGCATTTACTCAACAATCGTTTATCAGTTTATTCGGGATAAGCGATCGAGAAAAGACTTGAATTGATATATTTCCGTTGCATTTAGAGTCAGACCAATACAATGGCATCGCTACGTGAACGATCTGTGGTGAATCGTTCGAATACGTATACGTATCTACCTACGCAACGAAAATTTGATCTCTTCCAAATTGAAAGAAAAATTTATCTAATAACGAGAACTTCAAGCTAATGTCGTTGGACGAAGGGAAGTTGCGAGAATGAGACGAGAATACTTTCCACACCCCATTTAAGACGAGTATAACGTGAAATAGAGAAATTGCGTGGTAATCTTTTTGTTCTGGGAAAACTTGTTTTTTTGCAGTAGCGTTTGGAAATGACGATATAAGGAATCTGTATCATTCTTAATTCCCGGTCAGGCACAAGGACTGCCACATTCCAAGATCCTTGGGAGTGCCCTGTATGCTCTATAATAATAGCTGTTACTCGATCAATAGCCTACTACCCCATTTACCCTCATAGGGAACCCTCACATCGATTATGAGTCAAAACCAAAAGAGCACAGACAATCGTTTTTTATAACTGGGTATCTAAACGTTTGCACTTGATTGATTGGTGGGTGTCGTTCTCTTTACTCCAAAAGCACTTTTGAAATTGGAAATAACATTAAGGATAACTGTTTAAAACGATACATGGCTGCAAAAATTCCCAAGCGGGTTCCAGACGTCACCACTTCTCCAAAGCAGAATGGTAGCCTTTCTAAGTCTCGCTTTCATTTGAACTAATAGTTGAGTGATAATAATATCAATACATGAAATATCAATTATTCTTATCATTATCATTATCGTTATCATTATCATTATCATCATCATCATCATTATCATTGTAATTATTATTTTTGTAACCTCTTCATATTATTAATTTTCTTATGTTTGTTTGTTTTTATTTTTCACGCACGATTTTCAGTCGATGTAAAGTAAGAGCGCAATTAGTTGTGCCTGCCAATCATTAGATAACTGACAAGGCACCCCATTTTACTGAACATTCCTGTTGCGTTCTTAAATTATGCTGTTCCAAAAATATATATCCATGCTTCCCCACGAATGAGTTTTAGGTGGAAGTGCCAGTGTAAGAGTAGTAAGAGAGTAGTGAGAGTACTAGTGTAAGAGTTTTGGCTTTACTCCGATCTAATAGAGAGGAGAAGTTGTTACGTCACGTTGCCATGGTAGCAAAGTTTCTGGATGACAACAAACCGTAGTTCCGCAAATATGGCCGCCATGTCGATCAGTACCCTCGCATCTTTCCTCGGTGATGAGCCGAAATTGATTAATAGGAGTGAGAACCACAGCAATTCTAAACATGTTGACTTGTTTGAATATTCTCCTGTGCATGACTGCACTCAGGAATAGACCCGTAGCCCACACTTTTCTTCCATCGTTCGACAATGCAAGTGGCCGTCTCTGTCAAGAAAGATTAGGGAGCTTAAGCAAGTACGACGGGAACGGCGCGAAAAGATCACTTAAAGAGTGAATTTGCGCTGTTTCAAACTTCATCGCTCTTATTCCATTTTATTCAATTTGTCAATTGTTGACGAATTTTTCTGGAGTTGAATTCCAAAGGACTGTACCTAATTTGAGAGAAAGAACAAGAAAATTGTTGTCTTATATTCATGTCCCCAAAATTTGTAAAAACGAAGTTTGACGTGCCGCCATCTTTGCACGCGCTTAAGGATTGATGGGATAAAAGCAATGCCAGGTGGTTTCTTAGGGAGCAAACAAGTGATAAAGTCTGCCAATACAAGAAATCGCGGTCGAGTTTGTTTATTCTAGGCAAAAGAAAATGAAGAACTTTCTATCTTGAAGACGCGTATGGCAAATTATTAGTGAAAGTGTTCATTGTAACTTTATTTGGAAGCAATAGAGACCGTAGATGTCCGATCACTTTGTAATAATGACGTAAAACTTGTCGAAACTCGAACTGTACATTTTGAATGACTATTAAATCGTCGTCTCGTTTTGATAGAATAAATAAATTCGACCGCGATTACTCGTATTGGCAAATTTTCTTTATTGTTTGCCCCATGAGAAACTACGTGACGTTGCTAATATCCCACCGATCCTAAGGCGCATGCAAAGATGGCAGGTATCGTGAATAAGGTCTATTGTCGGGAATAGCGATGCCGATCGAACCACTATTATTGCTCCTGCAGTTTGGAGGAAACAGGGGCCGGGGACTGTTCTCACTGGTATTTTAGTGTGGCAGTTTTTAAACTGGTCAGAAAGATTTCAGGCTCTTCATCCAGGCAAATGAAAACAGTTGACTTTAAGCAAGAGGGGCAGCAAAATATTTATCCACAGACACCACCACCAACTAATATTTATTTAAAAAATCGATGAAACAGAAAAATAAAGCCGAATCAATAATTTCAGGAGTTACCTTTTGATGCAGTGATAGCAAATATTCATTACTTGCTAGGAACAAACTTATTTAGGCTAATAAATTCCCACATATTCTTAGATCACTACCGAAACAGGGGTATAAACAGCACGAAACATACCATCTTTTTAATACAACGGGCTTACCATACATAACCGATAACTTATGCCACCGCTGATGCCACGTCGCTTGATGCTTACTCGGCGTACTACCTTTCTTTTACACAGTGGATTTTAGACCGCTGTTTGAAAAAGTAATATACGTTAAAGCCTATCAATGTGTGTGGGATTTTCAACTGACAAGATCGTAATATTTGCGAAAAAAAATTTTGAATTCTGCAGTCAGCGGTGAGCTCTTGTCCACAATGTCACGTCAAGCAGTCCAGGTGCAATGTAAGGAAGAAGACCAGTGACGGGTCCGCATAATAACAAGTTTTTTCAGAAACTGTCTTTTGATTAATGAAGATTAATATTATTATTATAGTTATTATTATTGTTGTTGTTGTTAGAAAAAGAAGATGGGGGGGAAGGAACTGAAGAAGAAGACTCAGAATCTGAGGAAGAAGACTCAGAATCAGAAGAAGAAGACTCAGAATCAGAAGAAGAAGAAGAGGAGGAATAATAAAAGAAGAAGAGGAATAACAATTTCAATTCCTAAATTGGCTAAGCCCAGGTTAATCTGAAATAGGCACAAGGACCCAAG